TAGTTTTGAAAGATGGAAAAAATAATGCAGAAATTATTAGTGTTTACATGTATATTGGAATATTTTGTTAGACTTCTTAAAATGACAAGGAATTGCAAATCCTTGTGATGTGCTCAGGAAATCCTGAAGTCTGTGGGAAACACAAAGTGAAAAAAAAATGTTGCTTCTCCTAAGGAGTACTTCAGCATATTTTAAGTAACTTGGGTGAATATGGGAAGAGAGATGACTAAGACATGGTCCCCACCCTTAGGCAATTTCCTGATGAGTGGGAAAAGCAGCCATATAAACAACCAGCTATATTATAAGACAGCATGAAATAGGTGCTGGAGGTCTAACAAGTTGAAGATTAGAAGGACTAACTTAGGATATTCATGTAAGATTGAATTGTGAAGCAGTATCTGCCAGCATAGGACCAAGTGCCCAGTGGAGGAGTTGAGGGAACAAATCTAAGAACTCAAGAGAACTGAATTCTTGGGGGTTCCTGAGGGAGGGTTCTTGGTGGAAGGGGGTCTTCTACCTAGACAACTTCCTGCCTAAACTGCTTCCCTGGCCCTAACTGCTCTCTTTAGTGCCTGCTTCCTTTTTCATACCTGGGTTCTGGCCCTCAGTTTTCTCCTCCCTTGGTTTCATGTCTTTTGCTCACCCTTGAGATTAGAAACTGAGATTCTGGAAATCTCCATTGGTTTTGGAGTCCAGTGACAATGTATGGGGAAAGCCACAGCCTCAACCTACCTCATCATTCCTGACAGTTAAATCCAAGAGTACCTCAAACTATGCCACCACTTCCACTGGCACAGACAAAACTGTAGCTATCCTCCCAGTTTCTGCTGAGCCCTGCAAACCCACGCCTTAGAAGGCAGTGGTTACTCTCATGGGCTCATTCCTTAGAAAACCAAATGGATTTGGAAGATATTTATTGCCTTCCCATTTCTATTTCTCTGTGCCAAAGACCTTCCATTTATATGAAGAATGGAATCTTGGAGAATGGGGATCTTTTTGAATGCTTTTATAGGTTATTCCTATAAAAGAAGCAAAGAAGAGCCCCAGTCTTCTAAGGTTTGAGTCCACTTCCTGAATCTAGAAAAAAAGGATACATCCTCAGGCCAGAGGTTGCGCAGTACACATAGGACACCTTTTCTTCACGTTTTTTTTTTTTTTTAAATGGTACTGGAGTTTGAATTCAAGGCTTTGCACTTTCAAGGCAGGTGCTCTACCACTTGAGCCACACCTCCCGTCTAGGACACCATTTTTTTGTTTGTGGCACTGAGGTTTGAACTCAGGGCCTCATGCTTGCTAGCCAGGCACTCTACCACTTGGGCCACTCTGCCAGCCCTTTTTTTGTGATATGTTTTTTCAAGAAAGGTTCCCGAGAACTATTTTCCCAAGGCTAGCTTCTAACTGGGATTCTCCTGATCTCTGCCTCCTGAGTAGCTAGGATTACAGGCGTGAGCCACTGGTGCTTGGCAAAAACACCATTTCTTGAGAGCTTGCTGGGATATTATGTATTTGGGGTTGTTTAGGGAGGGTTGTTTGTTTGAGATGAGGCCCTACAATGTTGCCCAGGTTAGTCTGGAACTCCTGTGCTCAAGTGTTCTCCTGCCTCAGCTTCCTGAGTAGCTATGACTATAGTCAGGTGCTACCATACCTGGTTGGGATGGCAGGGCCTTCTGGCCAAATTTGTGTGTGTGTGGGGGGGGGTTGGTGGTGTTAGTGGTAGTGGTACTGGGATTTGAACTCAGAGCCTTATGCTTGTCTCTACCACTTGAGCCACACCCCCAGCCTGGCCCAATCTATTGATAGTCCAGTGCTGCATTGCCAGCTTCCCTCATTACCGCCCTCTCTACACGTGCTCCACATGCAGGAGCTGTTACTATGGAAATGTATTATTTTTAAAAACAGATGCAGCCCTGGGCTTGGGAAATATTTCAAGATTAAATCCACATGGGCAAGGAGGTTAATGGGGGTTCCAAGGGGTTAGGGGAATGATGGTGGCAAAGGAAGTTCAGTGTCATTTTCTGTTCTCAACCTCTACCTGGTTCAGGGTTCTGCTTTCTGTTAATATCAGCTGGACTTTTGCCAGATCCTCGGATCTGGACGACATGCCTTGCATCTCCATACCCAGGGCCTAGCTTCAGCAAGGAATGGGAACCTAGAAACTGCTGAGACTGGGGGTGTTGGGAGAAGGAGCTGCTGAGTTCCACAGGGGTCAACCTGTAAAACTCTAGCAAGCATAGGGGAAAACCGAGGCGGCATCTCAGATAAGTGAAGTTACTCTAGCCTGGAGCTCGGTGGTTGTGGGGGTGGAGTGCACCCCGACTGCAAGATGGGGCGGGGCGATCAAAAATCCCGCCTATTTTCAACGGTGGAACCCTCTTGGCTTGCCGCTGGTCCTCCCGCCCAACTCTAGCTCCGAACGCCAGGCTGGCCTGGCCCCGCCCGGCGCGGGTGCGGCTCCTTTAAGGGAGGGTGGGGGCGGGGCGCCAGCAGTGTTGTCAGTGTCAGCTTTGCGCACGCAGCTCTCCCTCCCGGAGCCGGTACCGGCCCGCGAGCCCCGGCGTCTCTGCAGATCAGTCCCCGCCCGGGTCCGGCGGGGCCCGTGCGGCGCCGTGGGAGGAGTCGACCGCTGGCTGGCGACTAGCTGAGGTCGGACTGCTGAACCTAGCGACCAGGACCCCCGGCTACCGAGACAGAGCCCCAGCGACGCGACCCCGGAGGACCTCTTCTAGATCGGTGGCACCTACTAGTCGCAGGCAGTCGGCCCCGGAGAACCCCCGAGCCCGCGCTCCTAGCCCCGGGGGAGCCCGCCCCCGCCCCGCGGCCCGCCCGGGCCATGCTCCCCCGGGGCAGCGGCTGAGCCCGAGCTCCGACCGGGACCGGAGCCCGCACGGAGCATGGATCCCGGCTGGGGGCAGCGGGACGTGGGCTGGGCGGCCCTGCTGGTCCTCTTCGCCGCCTCGCTGCTCACGGTATTGGGCTGGCTGCTGCAGTATGCCCGGGGTTTGTGGCTGGCGCGGGCCCGCGGAGGCCGGGGCCCGGGACCCGCCTTAGCCGCGGAGTCCGGGGGTTCCCTCCGGGAGCTGGGCGTGTGGCGCTCGCTGCTGCGGCTGCGGGCGAGTCGGGCTGGCGTCCCCGAGGAGCCAGGCGTCCGGGGCCTCCTGGCGTCGCTCTTTGCCTTCAAGTCGTTCCGGGAGAACTGGCAACGGGCTTGGGTTCGAGCCCTGAACGAGCAGGCCTGCAGGGACGGGGTGAGTTGTACGGAGCTCCTAGGTGATCCCTTCAGCTTTTCCTTCCAGGGGAGGGACGGCTCGAGCTAGGAGAGCGAGATGGAGGAGGGAGAGCGGGGGTGGGGTAGGGGGGAGGAATCAATTGTCGAACCCCCCAGCCCCCCATGGCTTTTCTTCCTTTCCTGGATCAGAGAAAAAGGTGCAGGTGAGGCTGGGGGTTGTAGTTATGTCCCAAATCTATTTTTGTGGACTAGGTACTCTCTAGCTCCAACCGGTGCACAAGTTACTGTTCTCATAGCAACGCTAATCCCTGTGCCTCAGGGCACTTCCGCCTAGTCTGGGTGCTGGTTGGGCCAGGGGAGACTGGTGCACCTGCAGAAGGAATTTGCCTGGTCCTCGTGCCACCACACCCAGTTAACATTTCATGCTTCATCCAGATCCTTGGTGTGGCCAGGCAGATCCCTAGGGCACCTGAATTGCTCGTCTACCCATCTGTAATTTCACTGCTACTGGCAAAGGCATCTTTCTCCTTCATGCTGGCCTGCAGTGTATTTGTTGAGGGGGCGGGGGTTCAGTTAAAGTGCATGTTGACAATCCCTGTCCTTTCCAGCAAATGAACTTGGAGCTGACCCTTGAGGGTCAGTCACCAACCAGCTCAACCTACTTCCTCCCATTGCACTATGGGCAACTGGCCTCCCAGGAAGTGGGGCAGGAAGCATGGTCACGAGACTGAGGTTGGGTGGAAAGCAGAGATCTCCCTCTTTTAGGCCCCCTCCCATATTGGCCCAGCGATCACTCCTTGCCTTCACAGTCTAGCAGCTCCTTGCTCAGAGGCTTCTCCATTTCTAGCTACTGTGAGCTGCTGGCTTTATCCTACTAGTTCTGGAAACACAAGTGGCTACAAGAAGTTGCTATTTCCTCTTCCTGGCTGGCCATCTGATAGCCAGATGACATCTGTCACTTTATACCTTTGACCCACCCTTTCACCTGCACCTTGTCCCTGGGTCAGAAGCAACTTCCTGGGACAGCTGACTCAGCTGGATATTGGCCTCCTTTGCAGGGGTGGGGAAATTGAGGTTCTAAGCATCCATCTCTCTGTCTCCCTTGGCCTGGCCTTTGAAGAAGATAGCTACCAGAGCAGAGAAGTTGGCCAGACAAATGAGGGAGCCCTGTGGATTTGTCTCCTCGGTCTCAAGACTTGAGGAAGAGCTGCCAGCCCAGTCTGTACCCACTCCTCAATTCTTCCCATCCTGCTCTGCACTGCTGTGGAAGAATTAGGGAGCAGCTCTTTTGAGACCTAAGCTAAGCAGCTTTCTGCTCCCTAATACCAGCCTGCTGTCTGCCTTGAGGAATTAGCCAGGCCCTGGACCCCTGAGCCCTCGAGCTTGCATCTCTTTCTCAGTACCAATAGTGAAGTTCCCCAAGACCATGCCAGGTTATCTTCATTTCCAAGAATTTAAATGGAGTCGTACTTTTGACCCTTCACATCCTATTTATCTGGAAGAAGGCTTAACCTCATTTCTCCTGCTCTTATCTCACAATAAGCTATCCTACTGTTTTCACCTTTACCTGGGCCCTGTCCCTCTGTGCCCAGCTACTATATATAGATGGCAACCAACAGTTTAAATTTTTTTTGTTAATGTACATCTTTCTTTGAGATTAGGGTACGGGGTAGAACAGGGGACTGAAAAGGAAGGCGGGGAGAAGAGGAAAGTTCCTGGTGTTCTGGGAGGGATCCAGGGTCTTCAGTTCCAGGCTGAGGTGGTCTAGCTCCCCCAGTTCTCACTGGTCCCAACAGCTGCAGGCCCCTGGAGAGGTGGGACTTAAAGGAAGTACTTTCTGTCCTAAAGCCCTCAGCCAAAGAGGGGAAGAAGCCAGCTTGCAGCTGAGGGTTCCGCAGTGCCAGGTCTCAGCCAACAACTGCACAGGCCAGCCCTGTGGGGGGCAGCTCCAGAGACCTGATCCTGTGCCCACATTACTCCCTCAGAGCTCCATCCAGATTGCCTTTGAGGAGGTGCCCCAACTCCCACCCAGAGCCAGCATTAGTCATGTGACCTGCATAGACCAATCAGAGTGCACCATGGTAAGGGTCTAACGGGTACTGCCCTCTTTGGAGCCTGGGGTTGGGATGCTGACCTCAAAGATGCTGTTTAGTATGAGGGTTCTTAATTTGGAGTCTGTGGGTGCCTTAGGGACCTAAGAATGAGGGCTTCAGGAGGTCTGAGGATTCTATTGAAGTTATAAGCAAAATGATGTGTGTGTGTGTGTGTGTGTGTGTCGCATTTTTATGAGGAGAGCAGTAGTCTTTGGGTTTTATCTAATTTTTGAGAGGCTTCTGATCCTAAAATGGTGAAGTTTTGTGGGAATCAGAGGTGGGGAGGGGTTTGTGAAACCATCCTAAGGCAGGACAAAGCTGGTGAGCACCTTCCTCCACGCCTGATCCTGCTTTGCCTTTAGGTGCTGCACTGCCAGCTCTCTGCTGAGGAGATGCATTTCCCAGTCTCTGTGACCCAGCAGTCTCCCGCTGCAGTCTCCATGGAGACCTACCACGTCACTCTGACACTGCCACCAACACAGGTGGAAGGCAACGTGGGAAACTGAGTTGGGCAGGGGGGCAGTTCAGTTGGCCCAGCATTTTTTGTTTGGTTTCTCTCTGAGATGGAAAGGAGTTGGTAGTCATTGGAGGAAGGAGGCAACAATCCAATGTTTTTGTCTCTGTCCCTAGTTGGAAGTCAGCCTGGAGGAAATCCCCGACGAGGGGCTGCTAGTGTCCTGGGCCTTCACTGATCGCCCAGATCTCAGCCTAACGGTGCTTCCCAAGTTGCAGGCCAGGGAGGTAAGGAAGTGGGGCTGGCAGAAAAGAGGCCAAACAGAGGGGGGCAGAGTAGGGTTCCAACTTTTCTCCTCTCTGCAGAGAAGCGAGGAACAAGTAGAGCTCTCGACAATTGAGGAACTGATCAAGGATGCCATAGTCAGCACTCAGCCAGCCATGATGGTCAACCTCAGGGCCTGCTCTGCCCCAGGAGGCGTGGTGAGTAGGCATTCAAAGCAAAAGGTTTGCATGCACCCCGACCTCAGAATACTATATCAGAATTATTGTTCTTTTTACCTCTTTCTGTTCTTAGGTATCCAGTGAGAAACCACCCATGATGCCCCAGGCCCAGCCAGCCATCCCTAGACCTACTCGGTTATTCCTCCGGCAGCTACGAGCATCTCACCTAGGAAATGAGCTGAGAGGTGAGAGCTAGACACAGCTGAGGGACTTCCAACACTGTAGCTACAGGCACTTCCTGCCCCTCTGCCAAAGGTACAGCCCCCTCTATTTCTCAGTGGCTTCCTGTCTTTGAGCATCTTCTACCTTCTGGTTCCTTACAGGCACTGAGGAACTGTGCTGTGTAGCTGAGCTTGACAACCCCATGCAACAGAAGTGGACCAAGCCCATGAGGGCTGGTTCTGAGGTGGAATGGACAGAGGATCTGGCACTGTAAGGCGTGACTCTGACCCACCCCCTGTTCCCAAGGGCAAATAGGATAGAGAAATTCTCCCAGCCTAGTCCTGGCATGAATCATCTGTCATGCTTTCGGTAGACTTTCTTGTGAGCCTCTATTGTATGGCAGTCCCTGGTGTAGGGCCTGGGGATACAGACAAGACCAAGATACCATCCCTACCTCTGGGCTGATTCTAGGCTTGAAGCAGAGACAGATATACATAGAGAAGGTGGTACAAGTGTGCCCATCGAGACTTATATAAAATGCCATAGGAATGCTTAGGTAGAGGGAATTAATTCCCATAGCAGAATAAGGATCTGAGTAGGCTTTATGGAAGAGATGACACTTAACTCAAGAGTGGGATTTCACCAGAGTGTGAAAGTATTCTCATCAGAGAAAATAGCTGAGATTTTCTTTAGCAAATGAGCTTGTGTCTGCAAAGGGGACTCATTAGACAGAGTGGAGTAGGGCCTTGAATACCTGGCCAAGGAAAGTGGTTTCCACTCAAGCCCTGCCCCATTCTCTCAAAAAGAGGGAGGATCTGGAGAGCAGGATAATGTGATTGGAGCATTGATGCCATCTTATTTACATACATCTTTCTGCCTCTGGCCTATGTTTGACCCAAGGGCGGGTTCAGTTTGCTGTACTTCCCCTTTCTTGTCCCATCTATCTTTTCTTGTCCAACAGGGATCTGGGACCCCAGAGCCGAGAGCTGGCCATCAAAGTGCTCAGGAGCAGCAGCTGTGGAGACAGTGAGTGTTGGGTAGAAGGGCATCTCTGGGTGGGTGCTGTGCTGGATCTGATCATGAGCCTAGCTCACAGTGCCATCCCTGTCCCCAGCTGAGCTCCTTGGCCAAGCCATACTGCCCGTGGGTTCCCCCTCCAGACCACTGTCTCGAAGACAGGTGTGCCCACTCACTCCAGGGCCAGGGAAAGCCCTGGGTCCAGCAGCCACCATAGCAGTAGAGGTGAGAAGCTGATCCCTTGGGGGGAGATGGGTGGACACAGGATAGGCAGTCTCTGATGCCCTGATCCCTTACCTTCCCACCCCTTGGCAGCTGCAGTACGAGGAGGGCTCCCCCCGGAACCTGGGCACACCCACTCCCTCCACCCCACGCCCCAGCATCACACCTACCAAGAAGATTGAGTTGGATCGGACCATCATGCCTGATGGCACCATTGTCACCACTGTCACCACCGTCCAGTCCCGGCCCCGTGTAGATGGCAAATTAGGTAAAGAGGAGGAGCCTGGGTGCCCAGCTCTAGCTAGGGACCTTAGGCTGCAGACCTGTGGCAGAACAGGGAAAGGGGAAGGAAAACCCTAATTCCAATGCTTTCTGTTTCCTGATGTTCTACTCTGACCCTGTCACTTCTTCATTGTGAACTTTGTCTCTCCAAACTTTCCCTTACATCCCTCCATTTCATGCTGTACCTCTCGCCCTTTAGTTTTTTTTAATCTGTCAGCCCTTCGTGCAGGACACTTGCTCAAGCTCCTATCTATCTTTTCGCGTGACTGTTTCCTTCCTTGTATCCAGTCCCAACTGGCTAATTGGCCCTTTCTCTACCCTCAACCCTCTAGTACCCTGTGGGGTCTTCCACAAATCCAGCAGCCTCTGTGGCCTTTCTCCAGTGACCTTCCATCACACATCTCCTCTCTCCAGAAGTCTTATGGCAGTCCCTCTACCTCCAGGGGGCCCTGTGCCCCCTCTGCACACTCTATATTTTTTATGGCATCTCCCCAAACCCTCAAATGGGCCCTGTGGCATTTTGCCACACTCCCATTGGCCCTGTGGGTGTCTTTTTATCCCCAACAGCATCTTCTTAATCACTCTTGTGATTAATCCCCCTTTAATCATTTGGTTGCCCTCTGAGTCAACCAAAATCTGCATTTCAACAAAGATAATAGAGGTGGGGGCTACTCTAAAGCATCTCCCAGCTCACTGACCCTCCCCCACCCACCAGACTCCCCCTCCCGCTCCCCGTCCAAGGTGGAGGTGACTGAGAAGATGACAACTGTGCTGAGTGAGAGTAGCGGCCCCAGCAATGCCTCCCACAGCAGCAGCCGTGAGTAGGGAATGGGGATGTGTGGGTGTTGGTGGACACTGGCGCCCTACAGTCAAAATCCACTTTGGTGGGTTAGAAACCAGAGAGAAGTCAGATTGGCATCCTGTGTACCCCCAGCAGGGGAGAGCCACCTTTCGAACGGCTTGGACCCAGTAGCAGAGACAGCGATTCGCCAGCTGACTGAGCCCAGTGGGCGGGCAGCGAAAAAGACACCCAGCAAGCGCAGCACCCTCATCATCTCTGGTGTTTCCAAGGTAACAGGGCTCGAGAGAGGAGCTGGGATGGGGAGAAAGCCCCAACGGGTCACTCCTGCCCATTAACACTCATCCCCCGCCAGGTGCCCATTGCTCAGGACGAGATGGCCCTGTCCCTGGGCTATGCAGCATCCTTGGGAGCCTCAATGCAGGATGATGCGGGGACCAGCGGAGGTCCATCTTCACCCCCCTCAGACCCTTCAGCCACGTCCCCAGGACCCCTAGATGCCCTCTCCAGTCCGAGTGTCCAGGAGGCAGATGAGACAACACGTTCAGACATTTCTGAAAGGCCGTCTGTGGATGATGTCGAGTCAGAAACAGGGTCTACTGGAGCCCTGGAGACTCGCAGCCTCAAGGATCACAAAGGTGGGGAGATACTGGCAGGAACTCCTCTGCTTTTTTTAGACCCCATATTGTGACCCGGGTTCTGCTAAACAGTCCATTTGCCTTTGCCTTCCTCCCCTAAAGATCAGCCAAGGTAGTGTAGAGAGGGGAACTTGGTGCCTTACTTCCTTGTCTGGATGTGACAGGCTTGGGTGACAGGAAGGGATACCATGTTAGTTGCCTTTGCCTCCATTTTTTTTTCTTTCTTTTTTCTTTTTTTTTTTTTGGTGGTTACTGGAGGTTGAACTCAGGGCCTTCACCTTGAGCCACTCCACCGGTCCTGTTTTTGTGAAGGGTCTTTTGAGATAGGGGTCTCAGTGAACTATTTGCCCAGGGCTGGTTTCAAACCATGATCCTCCTGTTCTCTGCCTCCTGAGTAGCTAGGATGGCAAGCATGAGCCACTGGTGCCCGGCCATTTTCTTTCTTTCTGAACCTAATGCCCTCAGACTTCCTTCTTCTTTTTTTTTTTTTTAATTTGTTCCCTTTCACTTTTTACCTCCACTCCCATGCATATAAAAATACTAGCTTAAGCCAGACACCGGTTGCTCACATCTGTAATCCTAGCCAGTCTGGGCAAATAGTTTACCAAGACCCTACCTCAAAAAAAGGTAACACAAAAAAGGGCTGGTGGAGTGACTCAAGTGATAGAGCACCTGCCCAGCAAGGGGGAGACTATGAGTTCAAACCCCAATAGCACAAAAAGAAAAAATAACACAACCATAGGCCAACCTCAGGATTGTCTCTCTGGCAGTGACCAGTTGGGGTAGTTCTTCTAACTTCAAAAGACAAAGAGCTGGCACCAATACATCTTCATTGTCCAATGAGCCTGTCAAGCACAAGTCTGCTTCACTTCTTTTATTTATTTTGTGTGGGGGGGTGAGACTGGGGTTTGAACTCAGGGCTTGGCACTTGGCAAAGCAGGCACTCTACCACTTGAGCCACACCTCCAGTCCCTTCATCACTTCTTGGGATGATGAGATTCCTACATCCCAAGCCTGCTATGTGAGCACCTTCCCATTCTTGTGGCCCCAAATTTACCTCTTTGAAGTTTCCAGACTCACCACTTCCTGCTCACACCCTGGAATGTAGTAAATAGAATTGTGTCAACCCACCTTTTCTTTCATGATTTATAGACTTTGGGAAACACCCTGTGTAGACTTTGTCTTTCTGAAGGAAAGAGGCCCAGTCCTGGTATGTCCTCACAGAGCAACAGGTCCTGACCATGACATTCTTCCTTGGAGCAGTCATTGGTGCACACAGACCCCACAGAGGAGCTGTTTCCTCCTCCGGGTCCATGAAGCCCACATTGGCTCTGTTTTCTTTCCTGAGAAAGCCTATCTTTGGGCCCAGGGACTGGTTTTGTTCTTCATCTTCTGTCCTTGGTCCTTTTCCTGTGCCCCACCTCACCCTACTCCTGTGCCCCTCTCTGCCTCAGCTTCCCCTCTTCTTCACAGTGAGTTTCCTGCGCAGTGGCACTAAGCTGATCTTCCGCCGGAGGCCTCGCCAGAAGGAAGCTGGTCTGAGCCAATCACACGATGACCTCTCCAACACGACAGCCACACCCAGTGTCCGCAAAAAGGCTGGCAGCTTTTCTCGCCGCCTTATCAAACGTTTTTCCTTCAAATCCAAACCCAAGGCCAATGGCAGCCCCAGCCCCCAGCTTTGAGGGTTCTCCTCACCTCCTGAGCTAGGAGAGGGCAAGAGTTCTCTCAGCCCATTCCCCACATCCCTTTCTGTACCTCTCCCTGGATTCCCAATGCTAGGGCTAGGAAAGCCCTTGGGTTCTAGGAAGCCCCATCCACCCTGGGGTGTGGGGCCAGCTGGAAGGGTATCTGCAGTGGGAAGCACTGAGAGGTGGGCACCTGTTGCTGTGGACATAGAAGAGAGTTGGTGGCTGGGGTGAGAGGTGGGCTCTGTCTTGGCACATGTGGACATTCCTCAGAAGCATTTGCCCTCTGCTGACACCAGCCCTCTGAGGAGTCCCAGGGTGCTTGGCTCCTCAGCAGATCTTTCCTCCCTTATTTATTCTCTTTTTCTATTTATATGTGTGGTCTAGGACCCTCAGTGAACAGATGGCAGAGGGCATCTCTCCCAGGTGACCCTTATTTTCTGTCCCAGGAGGGGTTTCCATACCTCCCTCAGGTCCCCACTCAGACCAGCACCAATGTCTGCCTCTGAGGACCTTGGTGACTCATAGGAAACTGGGCCAATGCCCGGGATGGGGGGCAGGCTCTCCCCACCTCCTGCCTCCCCTATGCTCCTCATCCCTCCCTCCTCTCCCCCTTTCTTACTGTTTTGTACTTGATGCCTTCTCCATGAGCAGTGGCTCAGTTGGTAGGGGGGAACCAGGGGCATTGTGGGAAGTCTTCCCCAAAGAGATGGCTTTGGGGACTTTATTTAAAAACTGGATGATGATGGAGCAAGAGCAAGGCTGCACCTCTGTACATTGGGGGATAATGATGTCCATTGCTGTGTGATGGCTTGGAATTTAATTTATTAAATTAAAGTTAAATTGGAATTTATAAACTGGACAACTGGTTATCCTTTGAAAGGCAGATAGGCAGCAAGGCTGTGCTGTTAAGAGTGGGAGGATGAAAGGGACCTAGGGAGTGATGTGGGGACAGATGTTCTTGCAGGAAGAAGGGACATGTAGAGAAATGATGTAAGGAACAAGCATCTCTGAAAGGTGAAGTTGCAGCAAAAAAGCTAATCAGCTAGTCCAGGCATCTTTACTACCACCACCAGCCCGCTTTTTCAAACAAGCTGCTCCTTCCAGGACATAACAGTTCAGAGCATGGACTCTGGAAATAGACTGCCTAGGTTCGAGTCCCAGGTCATTAATTACCTGTGTGGCCCTAGGCAAGTTACATAAGCTCTGGGTGCTCCGTTTTCTCATCTGTAAATCAGGGACTAGGGGCAAAGCTCAGTGCTAGAGCACTTGCCTAGCATGCACAAGGCCCTGGGATCTATCCCTAGCAGTGCAAAAGAAAAAAAAGGAGGGGGGCGGGCTGTGATAATAACAGCTATCATTCTTTTGTGGGTGAGAAGTGAACGTGTAAAGTGATTAGAACTCTGCTGCATGTAGTCAGTCTGTGTTACTATTGCCTCAGAAGAGACGGATAGGAAGGGGGAGGTGTTATAAGTGTTTCATCACAATAAAAAATCCTTTATTCCTAAATAGGGACATGTTTTAGGAGCTATAGATACTAGCAAACTTTATGTCCCTGGATTCTGTCCTGAGATCTCACACAGGACTTGAGCCAGGTAAGCTGCTTGGGTTGTTGGACAGTACAGTACCAACAGGCAGCAAAACCAAGTGGACCACAAACACCCCTTGTGACCTGAGGCAAGCCACTTCTCCTTCTGGACCTCAGCTTCCTCATCTCTAAAATAAGAGTGGCCCAAATAATCATTCAGGTCACTTCCAGTCTTGGTGTCCTATGACTGCCTGCATTGTAGGGGGTCCAGGACCTGTTCCTTGGGTAGAGTGCATGGAATTGCTAGTATTCCCTGAGCTGCTAGCAACATCAGTCACAAAATGGGATAATGGGTCAAATTTTTTTTTTTATGGTACTGGGGCTTGAACTCAGGGTCTCATTGCTTGTTAGGTAGGCACTCTACTACTTGAACCACTTCACCAGTATGGGACAAGTTTTATATGTTGAAATGCTCAACTTTAGATCTGGAAAACTCAGATTTTTAAAGTATTTTCCCTAGTTTAAGGAATGTGACTTTGTGTGTGTGTGTGTGTGTGGTACTGGTGTTGGAACTCAGAGCCTTGTGCTTGCTAGGCAGGTGCTCTACCACTTGAGCCACTCCACCAGCCCTTTTTGCATTGGATATTTTTGAGATAGGATCTGAATTATTTTCCCAGACTGGCCTTGAACTCCAGTCCTCCTATCTCTCTTCTGAGTAGCTGAGATTACAGGTGTGAGCTACTGGCACCTGATGTGATTCTTAATAGCAGGGTTTTTTGTTTTTGTTTTTGTTTTCTTTGTTTTTGTTTTTAAACCAGAATGACAAGACAGGCAAACATGAACTTGCAATTTTTTTTTTTTTTGCAGTACTTGAGTTTGAACTCAGGGTCTTGAACTTGCTAGGCAGGTGCTGTACACTTGAGCCATGTCCCCCACCCTACAAGACCCTGTCTCAAAATTTGCTACTAGATTTTGGGATTGAGAAGATGATAACTGGAAGTTGTACACAGCCTCTGGTATTGAACTGTCCAGAAGTCAATGGAATTACATATCATTGTAGTGAAGATGAGCATGATCACATTTTAAAATTAGGGATTTCCAAAATAAATCCAGGAACTGGGCACAGTGGCTCATGGCTTTAATCCCAGCTACTCAGGAAGCAGAGATTAGGAGGATCTGTTTGGAGCCAGCCCAGGCAAAAACATTAGCAACACCCCCATCTTAACAAATAAGCTGAGTGTGATTGTATACTTCCATAATCCCAGCTATGCTGGAGGCTGTGGTCCCATGCTGTCCCCAGTCAAGAACATGGATCTTATCTGAAAAATAAAGCAAAAAAAAAAAAGGAAGGGGGGTGTGTGTGAGTTAAATGGTAGAAAGGTTTCCTACAGGCAAGAGACTAAATTTTTTTTTCTTTTCTTTTTTTTTTTTTTGGTGGTACTGGGGTTGAACTCAGGAATTCACGCTTGCTAGGCAGACGCTCTACTGCTTGAGCCACTCCATCAGCCCTGTTTTGTGTTGGGTGTTTTCGAGATAGGGTCTTATGAACAATTTGTCCATCTCCCAAACTGGTAGGATTACAGGCATGCACCACCCATGCCTGGCTAGAGGTCCTGGATTTGACCCCAATGCCACACACACAAACACACACACAGAGGCCAAGGGATACAAAACAATTTCATCAACTTCATCCATTTCATACTTTCAGAAGAGAACCACAGCTTTTTTATCCTCCAAAAGACAGGGAGAGCACAGCTTTTAATGAGAATGAATTACGCTTTGTGTCTGTGTGTGACAGTTTTTAAAGAACAAATCTCAGAATATGTCTGGATTACCCAGCCAAAATTGTAGTTTGTTTTCAATAGAAACAGATTGAGATGTAAGTAAACTCAGCTAGACACCAAGACACTGCCTTAAATTTTAGAAACATAGATGGATCTCACAGCAATACTGACATTTTTGCTCTGAAACCTATGCTGGAGTTCACATAGCTCTGTGACTGAACTCTTCATGAAATTGCTCAAATAAAACTAAGAGCCCTTTTCACTGGTGTAAATCTGAATTTAAATGTATTTTTTACATTTGAATTCTATATGTATAAATTTCTTATTTTTTTTGGTTCTGTATATAAGTTTTTTTGTTTTTTTTTTTTTTGAAACAGGGTCTCCTTATGTAGTTCAGGCTGGCCTTGAACTTGAGATCTTCCTGCTTAGACTCAGTGCTGAGATTACAGGCTATGTGCCACCATGCCAGGCTTGAATTACAGTTTTTAAATACCATTTTAAAATAGAGAGCCATCTATAATTTACTGTTAACAATATTCATGCACAAATATAAATTTACTATTTTTGCTTTACTTATTTTTGGGGGACAGTACTTTGGTTTGAATTCAGGGCTCTGTGTTTGCAAAGCAGGTGCTCTACCAATTTGAAGTAGGCAGGACTTAGATGCTGAAGCATCTGGAGAAATTAGGTTTGATTTGGGGTTTTTCCGGATAGGCAACAGAATGCCATTGAGTTGTTTTTTTGTTTGTCTGTTTTGTTTTGCAGTACTGGGGTTTGAATTCAGAGTCTACACCTTGGGCTACTCCACTAGTCCTTTTTGTGAAGGGTTTTTTCAAGATAGGGTCTCGACAAATATTTGCTGGCTTCAAACTGAGCTCCTGTGTAGCTGGCACTACAGCTGTGAGCGATAGGCGCTGGGCTACTTTTGAGTTGTTTAAAGCAGGGTGGTGACTTGATCAAATCCATTTTTCTTTGTCTACTTTTTTTTCTTTTTTTGAGACAGAGTCTTGCCATGTAGCGCAGTCTAACCTTGAACTTAATCCTCCTGCCTCACCTGTATTGATCTGCCTTATACCCAGCTAGATCTGTTTTTCTTTTCTTTTTTTTTTTTTAGGGGTGGGTGGGGGTGGGACTGGGGTTTGAACTCAGGCTTCACACTTGCAAAACAGGCATTCTACTGCTTGAGCCACACCTCCAGTCCATTTTGCTCTGGTTATTTTGAAGATGGAGTCTTGAGAACTATTTGCCTGGGCTGGCCTCGAACCTCGATCCTCCTTGTTTCATCCTTCCAAGTAGCTAGGATTACAGGTGTGAGCTTCTGACAACCAACAGATCTGTTTTTCTTAAAGATCATTTTGCATGCCTTGTGGATGATGCTTTGGAGGGAAGCAAGAGCGAAGGAAGTGAGACCAGTTAGATCAAGTTGTAGAACTATGGACGGGAGGGTTGTTTATGGACTAGCATGGGGATGGCAAAGATGAAACAGGGAATCCACAGACTTTGGCAATGGATTGGATGTGACACATGAAGAAGGAAATCAGGGGTGACTGCTAGGCTTGTGACATGAAAGAGTGGATGTGAGGCATGATAGGTAGATGAGGAGACAGAGGAATTATATTATTTTAATAAACATTAAAAGGGCCAGATTCAGGCATTGAAACAAGGAAGCAAAAACGAAAAAGCCAGAGCAGCTAGGCCCCTCCCATCTCCTCTTAGATGTTAAACTAGAAGAACAGGGAGCATGCCTGTAGTAATCCGAGCTACTCAGGAGACAGCCATCAGAAGGATGAGGTCCAAACACAGGACCTGGCAAGTAGTCCACGAGACCCTATCTCCAAAATACCCAAGACAAAGTAGGACTTGCAGAGTGGCTCAAGTGGTAAGTGTCTGCCTAGCAACTGTGAGGGCCTGAGTTCAAACCCCAGTACCACAAAAACAAAACACCCACAAACAAAAAAGCAGGGAGACACTACCAGCATCTGCCTTCATCTTTGAGATGTTAACAAGCTGCAAGATCTCTTAAATGGGTAGATGGAAAGGCTCCTTTGGCAAAGGGAAGTCCTAAAACCCATCTATAGTTCCCATGTTTGGGGTTGGCCTGGATATTTTACAATAATAAACAGCACTCATTTTGGGCACTCACAGCCATGATCTAATGGTTAGGGTTGTTAAAACTTTGATGATGTGTATTTCCCCATCCCAACAAAGTCCAAGACCTCAGATACTGAA